CAGCTCTAATATGCACCACCTACAAGGTTGCTTCACACGACCTTCGTTGTTTTTTTTTTTTCCATCCGAGCTGTGGGTACAATGTGCAGTATATATACTTACACCTGCAGCACGTAGACCATTACTTTCACACGATTCTCAATTCTTAATCATTAATACACAAGTAAATTGCGCTATTACTGTAATTGTGATGCGTTGACACACACGCACTTTTGTAACGGATGACAGTTGAATATACGTACATAAACGTGGACGTGACAAAATAAAAAATTACGTACCATTTGATTTCGCCTATCCTACACCGATGCGTCCCGATCGATCGGTCGATCGGCTGTCGAATATTCGTACGTTTTTTTGTTTTTTTTTATTTCATACATCAAGCGATACGTGCTCTTTTTTTTCTTTTCTTTGCACGCGTGGCATGTCCTGCAGTGTAATTGTATACGTGGGATCTCTCGTGTTATCCGGAAGATGTGAAAGTGCAAACGTTTAAGACTCGCAAAGACATTTGGCGACAGAAAAAGAGTTGGGGAGAGAATTTCCTCGGGCTATCTCCATCGCATCTAATCCATCGACTGCAAATTTTTTTTTCTGCAAAACCAGACAGATATCGATGACTGAATAATATGAATAATAATCTCATTCGGAATAAGTTTGATATGAGTTTTGTACAAAGCATGCAAAAGTACCTATTGTATAGGTTCGTTGCACCGATGAGGAGCAATCGCAGGTGAATGACATGAGCAGTGGCACACGAGAGAAAAACACCTTACCTTGGAAAACAGTGCAATTTGCGCATGGATATCTTATGGTGCGCGTGAAGAGTGATATTGTACGTAATGTTATATGGCTGCTCTCTGCACGACCAAACACGTAAGTAGAGGACAGAAAGGCGTATAAACCACGCGGGCAGCAACTTCGGTCCAACCGCGACACTCGATAAGACAAAAATCGCTCCTGATCAGCGCTTTCACAGCTCCCGAGTTTGTTTTATTAATACGTGCGCGCCTATACCTGTATAATATACCATATTGCGGGTATAACAGCGAGAGCTGGGCCTCGTTTTGAAAGGCGAGCTCGGTTGAGTTTGCGCAAACGTTCGCGAAGGAGGATAATATTTTTTCTTCTCACGATGTTTTTTTTTAAAGATGGATCAGTGATTGTATCCTTTTTTAACAAATTCGATGAGAAACTATACACGAGAGAACTCCGGTATCGACCCATCGACATATTATTAGATATATTTACACTTGGTTGAAGATAAAAATCACGCGCGCAAGACTATACAAGGAAAGTTGAACAATAACCCGATTTGTGTACATATTTCTCGGACGCATCGGACAAAACTCGATGAAGCAATGCACGGCTGGCAGATGTGAACGAAATCAAGTTAGTCAAGGGTAAGGTTTGAGCCAGAAGAGAGCAAAGTTCGTCAGCCTCGACTCCCGTACAGTCCGCGGGAGGATTCCTCGGAGTTGAAGCGAAACTTTTGGGAGGATCCTCTCCACTCCTGCAGGTACACATGATACACGGGAAAAGGTCAATGACGTCCGGCGCGCGGATCCCGCGAGCAATGATGCGCCCCGATCTCTTTTTTCCTCTCTCCTCTGCTTCTTCTTCTTCTTCTCGGTCTGTGGATACAAACGTACGTACCACCATCCACTCGTTGTTCTTTTCTCGGAGCGCTACATTCTCCATTTGGTGCTGTGTAGGAGAAGTATAGGTGTGCACGCCGTTTACTACTATACACGAGTGGGGAGAAAATGGCCATTTGAACGGTACATCGGTACAGAAATGACAAGAACTTTGATGAGGCCTTCCCTTCGCGAGCTCTGCGGGAAAATAGTTGGGTGCAATTGCACACACACGCGTAGTACACGGGGTACAAGAGTCGAGCACCATTTTTCCGCGCTCGATCGTTTGGTTTCTTGCGATGACTCGCGGAATCTCCGCGGTACCTCTGCAAAAATACATGATTGCTTTGTCTGTGCATAGCCATGGGGGAAAAAAAAAGTGAAGAGTTTGTTTCCTTGGCTATATACAGGCGTTTCCAATCGAAGCGTTTGCCATGGCATACCTGTGCGAGACTTTCAACGAGATCAAAGGACGGCTTGTTATTGTTTCTCGTGAAACCAAAGGCAACGCTGACGCACAGGCGTAGGATCACTTTGATTCTTGTGAAAAAGAAACATTTTTTTAAATTTCAAATTTACCACTCGTTGAAAGTTTGATATTGGTGAAAGCCGCACAAATAACGCCTTTTGCGTTTGATAATGGACAAACGAGCACCACTTGCCGGCATTGTTTGTGCGCAACTGTAATTATATGTGTATTGATGAAAGAGGCGGGTCGAGAGAGAGAGAGCAAACGAAAAAAAAAAAAAAGTAGATCAGTCCCGACGAGGCATTTCTAACGGGTGAAAATAAAATTTCAGCCGAATGGTATTACATAGACAGCAACGTTCGCACGCGCGTGGAGGCGGGAGAAAGTGTGTAAAAACGTAGGTACACATATAATATACATGTATACGTGTAAGCCTCGTAGAACGAGCCGCTAAACTCGTGAAAATAATTTTCATCCATTAACATCTTCTCCTTTGGCTTCACAAGTGCCCGTAAACATTGTTATGTCTCAGTTGGTGCCAATGCCATTTTACTGCGAGGATGGAAACAGCTCTCCATACCACTCTTTCACTCTCTGTGCACGATAATAGGAATCGCTAATTTTACGAATCGTTCAGTTTTTCCATTTTTCTTTCTATCTTTTTCGAAATAAGTAAGAAAATATCTTTGCTCTTTCGATAATGCGATTACTGAACGTGAAACTGCGTATATATTTGAAGAATCATTTTAGTTAAAAGAAAAAAGAAAAAAAAAAAACGGTAAAAAAAAACATCAGTAGCATTTTAGCCGAAGGAAAAGTATTCAGAAACGCTCCAGCATTTAAAAAGTAGAAACGAAAGCAGTGGTATATACATACACAATACCACCTATGATATACGTGCAAAAGAAGAAGAAGAAGACTTTCGATTCAGCACATTGTACGTTTATACTACTCGCAAGTAGGTACATACATGTATATACATATAGGTAAGTATTACTGTTCGTTTTGCTTGGCGAATCGCGTATAATGCTATCTCGGAGTCCATTTGGATCGATCTCCGTTCTAGCCCCCCTCCCCTCCCCCTCCATCCAACCTAAAGAAGATGGTTCCAGTGGTTGACGCAAAAAAAAAGAAGAGCTACGCGTCTTCTCTCTTTCTCCGCGAGCAGCGTAAATTTAAGTAGGTCGACGCAATTGCGCCTCGCCTTGCCTTTTACGGTTTCTGTGTACACACGGGCAACTCTCCCGAGGGAAGGTCGCCAAACCATGTTTGATCACTTTTTTTCTTCTTCTTTCTTTTTCATGCACACTTGCAGCAGAGGCCGAGGGTATGACGCGGACGTCGGAGCCCTTGAAAATTACACCATAGCACGTGTCCATTATGGGTATATATATATCGCGCTTTGGCTCACCTTTCCTTCGTACATGTATATATATATATTATACGTGTCCGATCTGAGTTTTTTTTTTTTGGTCCACAAGATATAGATTTCTAATCTGTTAATGAAATGCCCGATCGGTAGCACCTGTCTGGGATGTGTGTAGTTATATACACCCGATACTTACACATCCGTCACGTAGCTCGAAAGAGAAGGAAAAAGGGGGACGAGATAACGAAGAAGATGAAGCGAGAGCTCACACCTGCGCGGGACAAGTTTCACTTTCTCGCGAGGCGCGTGTCTTTTTTTATTTCGGGACCGATTGCGACACTCGAGCGCGATGATGCATCGGACGCGTATTTATACATGTAATAATGTGTGGGTTATTTTTCTTCCTTCCCTCTCTCTCGGAGCAATGGAAAGTCAAGCAGCGCCCGAGAGATGTTATTATACGTGTAATACACTCTGGTTCTTGATTTTTCACGGCGAAAGTTACAGTACTTACTCGCGGACGACCTTAAAACCCGATACTCGTTATTACAAGATCTTTACACTTATCGAACTGTATGGTGTAGTTTGTTACACGTGAGTACTATATACTAATGTATACCTACTAATTACCCAACATCGCGGGAACTGTTGTCACAACTAATGTTTATACACTTGTGTCGTTACTACGTATGGATGCTGATAAAAAGTTTATACTTGCATTCCAAACGAATGGGCATAGCGAGTTATAGGTTTGTGTTATATAGATTTAGGTGTTACTTGGGATTCTTTTGGAGAAAACAATTTTTTTTTTTTTCCCTCCTCATTTAATAACGAAAGTGTATCCAAGTAACGCGATTGCGCTCCGTTTCGAGAAACTTTGTCTATTAATTACCTGCATTGTGTACACTGCTTGCCCTCTCGTTAAATTTTATTTATTAATTCCTACATACCTAGTGAATTACACATAAAATGGATAATCATTTTCGGATCCTTTTATCTTTAGAAACGAGCTTTTCACTTTTCTCTGTGGCCATGAAGAAAAAAAAAAAAAAAAATGGAAAACTTTTTTTTTCCTTTCGTTGAATGAAATACCTACTGCAATGACTAAGATAAAATGATTCGTTAGTCCACACGAGAAAGCTGAATCTATTTGGTTTAATTGATTGTAAGGTGTAGCTGGATTACGACAATAGTTTTTCAGGAAGCTTATAACAACAAAAACACTAATACGACCGGCACGTGACCTTGGCATTTTCATTCATCCGAGTGTCAGGTGTCATTCTTCAAACCTATATATACTCTCGCTACTGTAAGTATGTGATTTCTTCGATAAGGTGCACTCTGCGCGAGCTACACGTCCCAAGTAAGTACCCACGTTTTTGCTCGTTTTCTAAAATACCACCCATTACTCAGTGCCAATTTGCTAATTCGCCAAAATTAGAAAGTCTCACGGTATAATATATTATATACGTGTATATACATATATGTACATGCGTGTAAATGCAATATTGGAGATGGTTGTGCTTACCAGTAGACAGCGGTGGTATCTGTGCCGCCTCCGTGGTGCTGATGGTGCTGTGCCTCGCTATTGTCATCTGGAATTCAAAGAAAAAGAATGTGAATTCCACCCATAACTCTATACAATACACATTGTAACACGTACATAAATATACAACTCTACGTACAAGGTATGTATGTATTATATTTAAGCTTGCGTGTCAACAACATTCATCGTCTCCCCCTTTTTTTTTTTTTTTTTTTTTCTTCGACTACAATTATAAAAAAGTCTTCCTCAGCCTTTATCCGCGTGCAATGGTCGCAAAGACCACGATTCCATTCAAGCGCGCGTCTAAAATTGTTTGTGTTTTAACTAAAATTTTTTTCTCTTTTGCAAATCAACTCTTTCACGCTCGAAAAAACAAAAAACAAAACAAAAACACATAGCCACACAAACGTATATATTCATTATTCAATGAGCTGTTGTTTTGTTTGTACCAAAGCTCGATCCTCTGTCCCGTGTTTTCATACCCGAATCCAATGGAGCAAAACAAAATTTGCATCTGACAATGGCAATGAAACGAAATGAAGTCATCGCCGAACCTCCACATATATAGGACGTTGCGAAGTGGGTGGTAGGAGGCTTATGAAGGTGCGACGCGCCACGCCAACGCCAACACGGCGCGTGTTGTTTCAGCTATATAATATATGTACTCCTGCAGCATTGGGGTGTAGGTAGCGCGTCCTCCTTCGCGTCGTCGAGGCGTTGCACAAAATTGACTTGATAAACAGCAGCTACACGCGCGACGAGCACGAGATAGGGAGTGTCTATGCGGTTATACCTATATACTCGGTGGGTGCTGGGCGTATTTTTTACATATACGTACAACATACTAAATAATAAATGCACGCGACAGCCGGTATTTTTACGACCTACTTTTTTCGAGGCAAAGCTACGCGCGGAGGCAAACGCAAGTGCATCCGATATATACATATACTTATTTCGTAGTTTTTGGTATGTATACACGCGGTCAAACCAAATGCTATCCTTGTTACGTAAGGTTTGGAACAAATTTACCCGAGTACGAGGAGTGTGGATGTGAAAAAGAAAAAAATAATAAAGTAACTTCCGAGACATCCACATGGTATAGTGTGCGTACAAAGTACCAGTACAACACGAGCCGAGGTGGGTGTACATGTATATAATATATATGCACGCTGAGCGCGACTTGATAACTTTTTCGACGCTCCCCTATAGACATTATGTTCCTTCCACTCTTTTTCCTCCTCCCTCGCTCTCTTACTTATATACATATATATATATATGACACGGTAATCGTTCTAATTTTCCGCGTCGAGACGGCACTCGCAGCAATTCATATATGTATATAAATACACTGCTCTCTCGTTTGGACGTTTCGTCATTTTAATTCTTCTCCCCCTAGCTCTCTAAAGAAGCTGTAAAGCCGGTGGGGGGGGGGAGCTCAATTATATTTCGCAAAGCGTTTTTCCCGAGTGCTCGTAAACTTTATGAGCACTCAATTTGCGGATAGGAATATAAATTATACACGCGCGTATGTATGAGCGATTCAAAAGGCAAAAAAAAAAAAAAAAAAAAAGAGTCACGTCGCCGCGAGGATCTATTTAACATTGGGCGTGTTTGTCGACTTTTGCGGCGTATGAATTTTTAATGCCCCTTTGAAATGTATACCTATACACGGGATAAACGACGGGCTCATTCAAAATCGGGAATAACGGATGATTCGTTCTAACGGGTAAAAAAAAAAAAAAAAAAAAAAAAAATGAAAAATCGCGCGGAATGTCCCGACGGGCGTTGATGCCGAGTCGAAGAAGAAAAAACAAAGCGTTGGGGGTCCCGAAAGTGAGTCGTCGTAGTCGCGAGGTGGACAAGTCGGTATTTATTTATACACGCTTATACGGCCCGAGAGAGAGTTGCAGGACAAGGCCGCGAGCGAAAGAGACGACGACGACTCCTCCTCCGCGCACTTTTGCCGGACTCGCCTCACTCTTGTTTTCGACGGAGGAGGAGAGAGCACCGTTTTTGGAATCAAGGCGACGGGCGCGCTCCTCCCCCGCGCGCGATTACGCCTCGCTTGCAGCTGCAGCTGATCCCATCGTGACTCACGCACTCTTTGGCTTCCCCCCCCCTCTCACAACTCCTCTTTCGATCCCCTGCTTCGAAATGAAAACCGGCTCGACGAGATGTCGTGCGTTTTTTCTTGCGTGTGCACAGCCACACTCACACCCCCTGGCGGTTTCTCAAAAGCTGTTTTTCTCCAAATTTCCCGAAAACCTCACTATCATTGTGGCATTTGCATTTGTTGCGTGCAGGTAATATACTTGGTTTGATCTGTCTGCAGCTTACAGCGAGCTGCTACCGATTTGCGCAACATCTGCAGGGAACAGAAGCTCGCTTGCTCACGCGCACGTGGGTGTCATTCGTACGTATGAGGGCACATAAAAGAGTTATCGTCTCTGCGCGTGGTGGTGGTGCCGGTTCATAAGTGAAAGGTATCATAATATATACAAGTGTGTGTCAATGCATGTATACATACGAGAGTTAATCACGCGGCGCCGGCTCAAATTTACACGGCAGCAAGAGACACGATAATAATAATAATGATAAGTATACTGCATACGCGGGTATTCACTATACGTGTATCGAGAGAAGCCGGATTGTGTGTATACTTTCACCGATGGGGGAGTATATCGGATAAATGTGATCGGTATTGCGCGAGTGTTGTGTCGCGGGAGGGAAAGAAAGTGAGCTTTGTTGTTCTGTGGGAACATTATATATATGTATATTTTGGGCAGGAAAACTATTGAATACAACGGAAGGGCAAGCATTGGAAAAATAATATTGCGGTCGCCCACGCGTTTTCTCGCGCTCACGCAACGACAGAGATAAGATGAAAACTCGGAGATGTGCGCAAGTGATGGGATAAGTATCGGGATAGGTTAGATCGGCGATTTCCTCAGCCACTCGCGGCAAAAGTGTGTGTGTGCGGATGGTCGCAAAATATACATGTATAGTAGCACTTAGCTATCATATCCGAATTTGGTCAGGAGCGGCGTGTGGCTCTTTGATGTCACGTCATTTGTATGTGCACGTATTGCAAAACTCGTAGAAAGTGCGTTATACATGTATATGTATAAGCGCCATTAGGTAATACATGAGAGATTCTACAAAAAAAAGTGTAACTTTTGTAACGAAGATTTTTATCTCTTTTGTACCTCCGGAAGTGAAGAGAAAAATTCGTAAATATCGATTTAGTAACGTTTGACCTTTTTTGTGCCTTTTTTAGGATTTTGCGTACTTTCTTTCGCTTATCCAAGAAGAGGATCTAAATCTATATATATACCGTACTCGAATGGATACTTTCCGTTTGCATTTATTTTTTTTCTACTTGTAATCCTCGGTTCGACGCTCTTTTCAGTATATATATATATATATATATGTATAATTCAACTCGTTCTCCAATTTCTCAATCGTTAGAACGTAAATGGTTACACGTTATATAATTAATTTATTCAAAGGTACTGTTTAGGAGAAATCAATCTACAGAACACATAGACCTGAACTTATTTTTAATAATCGTCCATACACTTGGTTGAGTTCGCGCACGTATATAATTTTTTACGATGTCCAATAAATCTAATGGTATGGACGGTAATTTATATACGCGTAAAATGTACTTTTTACTGCCTCTGGGAACGAAACTGCCGACGATTTCAACTGTTTCTACTTATTTAATTTCAAAAAAATATATATAAATACACATTTACAGGATCATCGCGCAAGTAAACAGCCAATAGCCAATATTTAATCTGTCGCCATCGGCAAAGCGCGTCTCATTACGCATGTGTAGGAGATATAATGAAAAAAAATAATGATGATTATTAGTATGAGTATTGATCAGTTGTCGCACCAACATACCCGCCAATGTAAATTACAACCGACGTAAGATTATTCTCCGAGCAACATAATAACATTACTTACTCGTAGTTTCGTTGCATTTGAGCTTATCATCGCACCATCAGCCGCGTGTGCGTCTCTACACACGGTGTTTACTCAGTGTACACCCGATGGGGCAATTAATAACGTTAATTTACGCTCCGCGCTGATGCCCGTAAATTATATCCTCATTATTTATGGATTGATACGCGCGAGCATCCAAGCATCGGAGGATTAATTTATTAGTCCCGTATGGAAAAACAATCACGACAATAACTTGTTCCTTACGATCATGCGAACTTTGTATTTCTTCGTTTTTTTGTGCATTTTTATTAGGGTTACACGTAAAAATCGAACGAATCGTACGTACGATTATTACGCAAGTCTGAAACGAAAACCAAGTCGTCTATGATTTTTAGATTCAAGTGTGTGTACCCACCTATTTTTATCACCGAACAAGTAAAAGCACTAAGAATTTCAAGTACTCGGGGGGGGGGGGGGAAAGAAAGGACGGTTTCTCTGCAAACACGGTTGCGTATATGTACAGGGTTGCCGGCTAAGCGTGACCCTTTTTGGATAGGTATTCAAGATTTAAGTCAACACAAGGCGTGTAAGTATACGGTTTCTACGGCTGTTTGTTCGGTAAATGTACTGTAAAAATGTATACATAATTTACGCCCACATACGACCTTTTATGGAGTTTAAATAAAAAAAAAAAAAATTATTTATATTGGAAAAAAAAAAAAAAAATTATTTATATTGGCGTTAAACGATTCCTGCATACGGCTAAGCGAAAAAATAAATACCTTTGGTTGTAAAGCTACACATACGTGATTTAATTACTTAATTTGACATTGTTCCTCAAAGTAGAGTGTAATACACGCCAAAGAAGTAGATATAATTTGGGGTGAGTCATAACACGAAATTTGCATTGCATTTACATGAATAAAAAATGCAAAGGTATAAGCTGACAACGCGATTGGGATGAATTATAAATATATAATGGGTCTCAGGATCAGCGAGCGATCGAAAAATTTCGCAAGACGTATCGCAATGAAAGAAAGTGAGAGAGAGAAAAAAAAGAATAATCAAGAGAGCGCCAACGAATAAGTTTGGTGAAAAAATTTCACACGCGCATTGTGTGCGCCCTGCGGGTGGAGGATACATATTATCTACACGCGTACATCGCATATTATTATTGTATACGTATAATATATGCGGAGTCTACAGCTTCCGGTATTGTACGTATACATACCGAAAGGAGAGCGGGCGCGCGAATATATGCATTACACACATGGCAAGGCTCTTAGCACATTATAGAGTGGACTGCATATACGTTATTGTATACATGTGTGTGAATTTAACACAAGTGCGGGCATGGAAAGCGGAGCGAGGAGCGAGTGAAATGTTTGTGAAACGAGAACAGTTCAGATCCTACCGATATTACGTATACGTATATGTATAATATATGTGTATATAGCTCGCGTTGGTTGAAAAGGATATACCTGGTAAAAATGGGCGTAGCCTCGGTATGTATACGTGTGTGTGTGTGGGTGTGCTTAAAGTGTGTACAAATACGTAGGTATGTGTCTATACATGTTGCCTGATCCTGTCCTTTCCTTATTCCGCCCCACCCCAACTTATTCTCCTATAGTGGTAAGAGTAAGAGGTAATGCAAGTTATACCTTTACGCGACTCGATTTACAGTCAAAGTATGTAACGTGGTACAATACCGCGAGTTCCTTTACACTTAGTATAACCATGTGGCTGTACACACACACAACTAAATCTATATACAAATACGTTTCATTTGCACTTTCGTTTGACCAAAGAGTTTTCTTCTGTCTTTTTTTTTTTTTTCTGCGATCGCAGATACCCCATATACTCACTTGCAGAAATATCATAGTTATCGTTATAACTCATAGTCTCACATCGACCACGGGGTCGTTATCAGCAAAACATATGGTTGTACGATTTGCGACGAAAATCAAGCCAAACCTTTAAATAACTCTGTATGCGATATCGTAACAATTGCACGGGCCACAATAGGGAAGAGAAAGAAAAAAAATCAACATGCGAACAACTTGTCATCCATGAATATACCGCACATAAAAGCTGGCGATGCGAGGGATTGCAAAAACAATGCGGCCCCATTAGGAAACCCCGACGCCGAACTACACCGCGTTACACGGCCCCGGGGAATCCCCGTGCCGGTAGGGTTCCGGAGCCTCTCCCCGCAAAGTTTAAACGTAATTGACAGTCATTACACGGCGCGACGCGCTCGCTCCGGGTGTAAGTCGCTGGAAAAATTACACGGCTTGGGGAACCAGTGTAGGACTCTTCTTGTACAGCAGCGAAGTTGAAGCTCGCGCCTTGGGGGGGTCGCGAATGAGGGAAGAAAAAACTTGGACGTCCCGTGTATATGACGCCCTGATGGCTTTAACGCGATCCAATGCGGTGCGCGTATTAAACGGGGATGACGACGAACGTATATTATAATCATACAAAACGCGCTCGCTCCGGGAGGATGGTTCATATTTGGTCGGGTAGTCGTCGAGCGAGCGATGGACGCGGGCCTCAAAGGGGACTTTCAACATTACAACTGATTGTGTACATACATACAATCACTTGGAGATGTACATCCTGAATTGGGAGCTGTTGCTCGGTGATGGAATTGGTTAATTAAAAGGAGGTAAATACATGAGACTGTGTATACACAATTGAGTGGAAATGACAAACGTGGTGTGAAATAATCATTCGAGCCATTGGAATAACCCTCAAACGACCGGTTTGACTCATCAAAGTTACTTAATCCGGGCCTGCCGATTAATTTTGTAACTTGGGTATTTTTGTTAATTTGTAAAATGGTGGCAAAAAGGAGATGGAAAATTTTCACCCAACTCCGTAATGGCGACGCGATAAAATTACTTACTTTGCGTGTATATATAAGTACAAGGTTTTATATTTAGCTACTGCAACTGAATGCGTTCACTGGAGACAAGCTATATATACGCGCGCTTATATTTAAATATATTATACCTACATATTACATACGTAGAGTACTTTTAATTTGTGATATCCGTAAATTAATTTATCGCGATTATGCAAGTATATACATGACATACGGTGTAGTTATAGGTGAGTCGAAAATCGGAAGAGCTCGGCGTGCAAAACTGGTTTTGAATTTATAGTTAAGCATATGCATTGCGATACGTAAGTTCTTGCACACGTGTCGGGGCGACGAATTATGATCGCCCTGACCTAGGGACGTACCGAGTGGGTATATTATAATATATATGAGGGCGGGCACACGACGTATACGTATAAAAGTGGGGTATATTTATAACAGATGACGTGTGAATATTGGAAACAAAAGGCTATGGGTGAGTACACACTTATGTATTACGTGTACGTATATATCGATATTGCCCAAGAGCGCGACGTGTACCTATATATACGTAGCCAGGATTTTCTCTTCTATAGGATTGTATGTATATATACGAATAGAATATACGGAGCAACGCGCTTTCGCACACGTATGGTAGATATATTATGTATCTGGTTAAGTGTAGCCGTGTACGCGAGATAACTATAATGTATACGCAGAGAAAGTCGAATCATGTGCTAATCGAAGCATATATAGAGAGCGAAAGATGCAATAGGCGTATATATATATACGTCACGCATTGTGAATAATACATCGAATATGATATATTGTACCGGTATTACTTATAGATGTATGCTTGTATTTCAGGCGTATCACGTCATTCTTCGTTTTAATGTGACATACGTGAAAGTGCGACTCGAGAATTTTCGAGGCCGATTTTCCGATCGGCGATAATGGCTTCGAGAGATGAGTACCTGACAATATGCGAATGACCCTCTGTCTCATCGGGATCAAGAAGGCCTATGTGTATAAGTGTAAAAAAATTAAGCGACTATAACATAATATGTACTATATGTATCGCTGAGGGTGGTATGTAAAATTTCCAAAACGCACGGGCGAAACGATGTATAGCCCCATTTTGCAGCGCGTATTGAAAAAAAAGGAATTTACTGCATAAATACTATTGATAAAAAAAAAGGGAGGGGAGGGGGTGTTCCGACACGAAATAACAAACCCAAATGCCTGGGACACGAAGTAGTGCGCAGCTCTCGTAAAATGGCCCAGATGTATAATATTACACGTATACACCCGGGCGCGAAAAATTCTCATTACTCCCTCCCAATCGGCAAGTGCTGCAGCGTGGAATCTAATATACATTGGCCAACTACTTAGACTCAAGACATATTACATACACACGCATAAAGTATATTTTCGCGAGAGAATCCGTTGCCGCGCGTGCACGCTCCGTACCTATATACCTATACCCGTTGTTTTGCGATGTTACGTCACTTACGACTGCGTATTGCTATTATTGCTATGTATGTAGTTTAGGTTCTTCGTTGCTTCGCGTCTCCATCCCCCGTAAGTTGCTCTATTATTGAGAGCCACGTGCGAATAATCCCTTCTCTCGCGCCTCTCGCTACATGGGAAGCTCAAAAATACATTGGCACTCTCTGTACGGAGGTATACACCACAATAATATCGCTCTGCAGTCGCTTATGCATTCAGCGCGGTTACAATACATCCAGCAAACCATTTTTTTCTTTCGGATTTCTAAAAATACCTGAGAAAGACCTCTTTTAAGCACACGCAAATCCGTGCAAAAGAAAAAAATATACTAAACCGTCGTCCAGCTCGACTCGTTTAAAAATGTTAAGTCGCGCGAGTATATAGGTATATTGTATCAGTGCAAGTTCAGTGCAATCGGAGTGGTCCATAAATATGCATTCGCTCGCGGGTCCTTTCGGTGGTTTACAGCCGAGTGGTGGAGAAAAAAAGGGGGGAAAGAAACTTTCCACAATGGCAAAATGTCCCCTCGAGGCGATTACCGACTAACTATATACACATATACTTACTTCGCAAGGAGGCGAGTTGGCGTGACTCGCCCACGCGCTCCCTCCTCCTCCTCCTCCTCCTCCTTTGCGCCACTCAACTGATATATGTATAATACCTGGGGTACGTGTATACGCGGGACAGTGTGCTTTTGATACCTCGCCACTCGGCGTATGGGCCCATTATTATTATAATACGTCTATGCACGGGAGAGACGGAAAAGGACGTGTCCCTCTTGCCTCGTGACATTTATGAAGAGGATGACGAGGAATGTCGTATGTATACATGCATATACATAAATATGTCAGAGAACGAAAGTGACGGAGGTAAAAAAAGATGTACTCACCAGTAGAATCGTCAGGAGGGTCCGCCGCCAGTCCATGACTGAAAAACAACGAAAACAAAAAAAAACAAAAAAAAAGAGAAAGTTTTATTAATAAATCTGGGTCAAAGTATATACCTCCCCCTCGCTACACTTTTGTCGTTGTTGTTGCTGCAGCCATTACTGGCCGTGATATTGCAACGGAGGGTATATTGTACATGTATACGGGACATACTACTGTATATACACTGTTAAAACTCCTGCAAGTTTGCGTCAAATCGCCGCTGCAGCAACAACCACTATAATATGTACCAAGCATGAACCCGCCGCTCTCCTTACCGATCGTCTTTCGCAGCACATCACAGCTGTCGCGAGATCGGCCGCGCTTGCGTGTGTCTCTCGACCCGTTGTTTCTACCACTATTTTTTTATATATATATATATCACCCTTAGATTGTCACTCGTCAAGTAGGTACAGTTTGCGCTCCGACGATGGATTCAACGTCCAAATACATTTATAACTGATGTTTACAGACAACGCGCACTTTTTTAAAGAAAATTCACAATAAAAACTCTCTGCCTACCGATCATACATGTATACTGTTTTTCTTCCAGTGCCGATTTCATACTCACGAACTTCCTCGAACGTGGAGTATTCGTGAAGTTACCGATTTCGCGACAGCACACGTTATACGTATACATATAAAAACCGATACCGATATAATGACTGTATACTATCGGAGCACGATAAACGCCGTACGCCCATGTGTGCAGCCGATGGGATTCTGCTCTCCAGAGTACGGCCTCTCTATGCTCGCGGTGTGCAAGTACACCTCGACTGCGCTGTCCCTTGCCTACCCCCACCCACTCGCCAGCGTTTCACCTCTCGAAATCGGTACAGTGGAACTGTACGGAAGAGTGCATGACTTGCAGTGAGAAAGATAATCGAAAGAAGAAACGGAGGGAAGGGAAATAAACAATAGGTTCAGGGTACGGTGGTGTATCAAGTAGCCGGGAATGCCAAAGAGGTAGCGATCCGGTGAGGCGCGACTACGCTAAAATCTCCGCAGCCGTTTCCGGAGGAGGGATACACACACACACACACATATACATATACCTTAAGGCCCAGTTCTCTATGGTAACCACAATAGGTACATAATACTGGTGCCAGCTGCGCCTCATGTTTGCAGGCTGGCTAGTAGGTATATAGGTACATTATAGCATGCCCAATATACACAAGAGCTACCACTATATATATTGTACATACATAGGTACATTGGTATATATATGTATATAGGTACTGGCACGAGAAAGCGATACGCGATATATATGTAAGTACGGCCGAAACACACGCGCTCACATTCACTTTTTCCCTCCCCCCCTCCCTTCCTCAGCGTGCGTGTGTGGGTGTAGTAGATGTTGTATAGGTATATATATATACACACACGAACGCGAGTACTCGCGACTCGCGACTGTTTTTCGTGAACGGCCGATCGCGGGAAACCGATTTTTGTATGTATTTATAAAAGAGAAGAAAATCGTGGGGGTTGGTATCGGCGAGCCACCCTTAAGCCGATTTCGAGCGTTATAGACGAGGTGGAGGAGGCGCGAGGTGTGCAAGGATCGGTAAGCGCGCCGATGCAACTGATCGGAGATCGCGCGCCAGGACCCGCGCTATCCTAGCCCGCGGAGCTCGGTCGGGCCTCTATTGTACCTCTCTCTCTTTCGCGGTACCTGTAGGTATAATAAATATATACCCTATACGTACTATAACGTATCGAACGGTGTGCGAGTGTGTACTTGATGTGTACAAGTAGTGGTTGGGGGCCCCATGGGTAAAAGAACGCGAGCTAAAACGAGCCGAGCTCTGTCTATTGTAACACACGTCCATGCGAGTGGTGAGCCCGTGTGGATTAGTGCACACACGTCAAAAGAATGGGTTTAAGTTCAAGCGAAGCCGTTCTCTCTCCAGTTTACCTATACTCAAGAGATATAACGTACACACCCACGCGATCGAAACTTCCAGGATCGTACTGTAGAAGTTTACCGATCGCGAATGCAGGATCCGATCTCGGCTGTATTGCAACGCACGCGGCTGCGTAACTCTGCAATTTTATGCGCATTGTAACAGTTACACATTGTAAGCTCTTATACCTCATTTCTTTGAAATAAAAACAAATATTGGTTTTGGTATCCGACTTGTCCAATTTTACAATCTAGCTTTTGTATATATATCATCGAAACTCTATGAACGTAAATTTTTAATATCATTGGACAAAAAAAAAAAAAATTCCAATTGTTATCCGCGAGTGCGTGAGTATAGATACATGTTAAAGTCAGACAAAAAGTTGGAAGAAAAATAAAAGAAAGGTAATACAAAAGCTAAGGCATGTATATGTGTAACAGTACCGACCGAGTCGGTGCTTTTATTTATAACACACGTCCCTGTGTATCATACGTATGCGGGTGGGACGCTGTACATACAGAAAATTATAAAATTCGGCACCGGAAACAGGTGTCTGTATGTATGCGTGTGCTACCGCGACTCTCTAATGCACATAAGCGCATCACCGTACACATAACAGTCGAGTCGAGTCTTTGTCCCCTTCTTTTATACATATATCTATACAGATACAACACCCCGCAAGGAAATTAATAGTCCCTGGGAATATAAAGTTTTCAAGGTCCCCAGCGATGTCACGTCCGCTTTGTCGCCAGCAATGCGCCCTCTCCAGTATCATTCTCGATTATACGCGTAGCTTTTCTCCATTGCTCTTGTTATTCACACGTGTGCAGAGCACAATATATAATTTGATGAATATTAACCTGGTGTGTAACGATACTCCAGGCGTGTAATAAGATCGGCAATGCTTGAACGACGAACCGATTCGCCACTGCATCAGCGTGTATTCGCAAGTATTATTACACAGGTGCAGTATAATACACGCCCGATCGGATGGATCATTACCGATTTTTCGCTACATTGTTACCGATCTTCCGTTTTGGAACGAGTACGTAAGCAGGAACTACTAGAAGTAAATTCTCCCGGTAGGGGATACCGTTATCTCACATTAAAGTATATACATATACATACACGTGTTATATCAAACACACATCAGACACGTGCAATAAAATATAATAATGGCTCAGCAATTTGCGAATCATTGAAATGAAATATACATTTGTACGAATCGATGCAATTACAGCACGTGTATATTGTACATAGATATTATACGCGCAAAAGTAAAAGCATATTATACGAACGTTCACGCTCTGTCCGGGTAAAAGCGAGCGTGTGTATTATTATGTATACGCGTGCACCACGGTGGGTATGTATATATATATATATGGGTAATGAAGGGGAAACGAGAAATAAAAGAGGATGGAGCGTAATTGTTGTCCCGGCGCGTTATGGCATTCAAGTCGTTGTTGGTCTCGCGGGTAACTTCGACGACCGAAAGAACAGGTTTCTTTAATTTTTCGCTCTGCACCTATACGTATAATAATACACGCTCAAGGACTCGATTTTTCATCTGAGGTGACTATTGCACTCTTTTTGTTTCTTTTCTTTTTCGTGTCTTTGCCCAAGATTTACCGATATCGTTTTATCAAACAGCACGACAATTTATTTAAGGTACATTTTGTTTTACCAATCGTGTTGCTTTGGCGAGCCAAAAATACTTTAAAATTACCCCCAAATCATCGTTCGAACAAGTAATAATCGACAATAATGCGCAAACGAAATTGCTTGTACGAATGACGATCGCCGGCTCGATCATCGTCAAATAATCCACGGAGTGTATCCGTTAACCACAGAGCGTTTAATCACTCGTGGCACACCTATACAGCAGGTTTGGGCATCAGGGCCAGAGAGAGAAAGAAACACACAGATATCCTTGGCTCGTCGATCGGTTGCATGTTTGTCGAAACTCGAATCCCACGCGTATATAGCGATTTGCTTAACGGACCATCGGCCGTACAACATCGGCTCATCGGTGCCGAACCCATACCGATGTTCGCGTTTGTGTTTGCATGAGGGGAAAGGACCTTGGCTCCTTTTTTTTTTTTTTTCTCTCTCTTTTTCGCGTTGCATAACTGAACGCGCACCCGCCCGCAATTATACACTGAAATAAGCGCTGTTATTATTGTCATCGTCATTTATCCATGTGCGAGCACGTCATCGCGCATTCGGTCTCCTCCTACGCCTGTATACATACATACTTAATGCGTGCGCGCCGCTATTATACGCCCAAAGTCGAGAATACATTGTCGCGCGCGTAAAATACCTGTGGGAGGGAGAGAGAGACGCACACGTCACGTCGTTATATTATTATGTGTATTCTTTTGCTGTCCTCGCGCGCGCTTTTCTTACATGGGCGGCGTGTCGATTTCTAGAAGCTACTTGGAATCGGATGGACGAACGTATGATGAAACGCCGCTGCTGGTTATTTTTTTTCCTCCTTACGGGGGATTCGTCTTCATGAATTATTCTTCGGTCCCGTTGTCCATTTGCTCGTTAAAGTAATCACTCAGCGTCCAAAATCTAAAGAATAGCCATGTTACTTCACACTCGTGCTCTTGACTCGTTTACTTTATCCCGATTAATAACCTATTAGACGGACGTTTCGAAACATCTTTTTTTCTTTTTGTTTTTTTTTTACGTAATATGTCCTTCTCGTTGGAGACACAAACATAATGACAAATAACGCCGAATCCATCATCGAAGCGCAAAAACGCACCTTGTCGGTACTCCAGGCAAAAAAGATCGTGGAAGCGTAAAACTTGAAACGAATACTACCATCATAATTGTCGAGCGAAACGCATCTATATGCCATTGAATAAAAAAAAAAAAAAAAACCCCATCCCTCATAACTATACTCTCATATGGATACTCGAATTGTAAATACGCGTAAGGAGAGCGAGCAACCCCCTTTGTCCCTCGGTAATTATAGTATCATATTAAGGGATAATGAGGCCGGCTCACCTGCTGATTTATGTGGTCTCTCGTGCTCCCGGGCAAAAGGAAAAAGGACGGAAATTGGTGGCTCGATCGTCCACTCCGAAGGGGGTTGATAGCAGCGGTATTAAACAGCACCGGCGTCGCAGCAAAAAAGCCGGTCCTCCTCGGCTTGGCCGCAGTGCTAGCTTTTTATGAATATTACGTACGACGAGGCGACGCAGCGAGACTCCGAACTGGAGGATCCAAGGATGCTTTTACTCGAGGCTGCAGCCAATGCTGGCTCCCTGCGTCTGCTGCTCTTGCTAGCGCTATCGAGCTCGTCGCACGCATCGCACCACCGCGACGTCAAGCTTTTTTTTTTTTTTTTTTTTTTCGTCAAATTTCGTTTTTCTTCTTCTTCCTTAAATTACATTACTCCTTTGCACCCGCGCACACACGCACAATATAGCAACTATTTTTATTAACAGATAGGTGTATCACGCGCGGTGGCGGTGGTGCACCGCGTCCTTGAGATACTTTCCGGTCGCGCGCCGCGGACCCACCAAGGCTGCGCGAGAGTATAAAACTGTTGCACCAGCAAGGACCGTTCGTATCCTTTCTTTTCCAACCGCCCTCCGTTATTGGCCGCGGAATCGTGTTAAATTACACTCGATCGTTGCCTCTAGCCGATCACATGATCATCGCGTTTTTGCTTTTCGTTTCGAAAAACCGCGCGATCCGATCGTTTGCTTTGACGATTTTAAAGTACCGCACTGTTACCCGACGATTTGGACTTTTTATTTGAAAGGGAAAAAAAAAAAAAAAAAAAAAAATTACACCAAACAAACAACAAACCGAGTTAAAAGTTGTACTCGGCGTGCGAGTCCGGTGCGTTCGGCGCGAGGCTCGAGACTGACTCTTGACTTTGCCGCGCGCAGTACGTACAAACAGATGGTGCTCGTCGACGGTGGGTTCCCCTCTCTTGCTCTGACGCTCAGCTGCTGCCGCTACCGCGAGAGCAAAGGAGGAGGAGGGGGCCCAGGATATGGCGAGAAAGAGAGAGATAAAGGGAGATATGTCCATACAGCCGTGCAAACGCAGGGACAGAGAGTAGGCGGAGAGAACTTCAAGAGCAAACGCCATCGATGTTACGACCGATGCCGCGGTGTGGTGGCTGCGGCGTATGGTCTTCCACTCGGCAGGTATTGGCGAACATCTCGCGGTTGTGCGCATCTGTATAATAGGTTGGTATATAGGTATGAAGAAACTACGACCACTTTCCTTTTTTTTCCTCTTGCGTTCCTCTTTTATTTCTTTCCTTTCCTATGCGCGGAGAGGAAGAGATCGTAAAAAACGAGCGACCGGCGCGTCTCTGGACGATCGCATCACGACCGGATTGGGAAGCGATACCACAATAGGTTGTTTTTTTTTTTTGCTATCGTGAACTGTCAACGAAAATGTTTTGCGTCTCGAGGAGTCGAGGAAAAAAATCAAGAAGGTTACTGAATGTAGGTATTTGTTTTAATCTAAAAAAATTTAATTCTCACCTATGTTTTTGGAAAACGAAGAAGTTGATGGTGCGTCTGCTGCAGATGGATAAAACAAAATTGAAAAATAGATTTGACCTCCACTGTTAGCTCAGTAAAATTCAGGGGAGATTTGCATCTCGTTCAAGCCTATAATAGAAAACTTTATGAACTTATGTCGCTAAAGTTTTTACATATGTTTTGTTGAAAAAAAAAAAAAAAAAAATCAATCAAGTTGTACAATGAAACAAAAGCTAAAGACCTTGTCGAGTGGAGTGTTACTAAAATAATTAATGCAAACGTGTACTGCAAAATACTTAATTTATGTTTTTTTATTTTTTATAAATAATTAAATGTAACTTTAGAAATATGACAAAATATTAATGAACGTGCTCAAGTGTGGCGAGAAAAATAAATTATTTAATAGAAAAAGCCTTTTGTTTATCACATTGAGTCTTAGAATTGGGGCACTTATTCATTCCTTGCAAGGGCAATTATGTTGAATTGAACATTTTCGGGATCACGATTCATATATTCTCGGCAGACGCGCGCTGCATCCTCAAGGAATGTTTCCGCGCTGGATGAACCGTGATTTACTGGATGTGGTTTCCCACCATCTAGAATGAAATATTGTTGTATCCTACCTTATGATTTAAAAATCACACTGACTAATATGATTGATTAAAAAAATTTACCAAGCTCGTATATTGAACCTTCTTTATGAACGAATGCTACGAAATGATGGAATACCTTTCCAGATTCGGGAACCTGCAAATAATTTGCGAGTTACAAATTATTCACCATTAACTTTTCACTTGATATTTGAATCAATTATATTTACTTCAGTCTGTCCCAAACCAGCCACTTCCTTGTGGATGTCACTGATACCCTTGGCTTCAAGTAATCGTTCACCTCTTTCATTAGAAGCCACGTCTTTGGTTTCATACAAAAAATTTTTCAGTTCCCCATCTTGCAATTTGATTCTGTATTATAAATTTCAACAAAAATAATAACATTTTTGCTTTTTCAATGGGATCTTTAAAATTTGTGTTTTCAAAGATAGACAAAAGTAATTTTACAACGTATTGTATGCCTGACAAACAAGAATATTTTGGTACAAAAAAATTTTTGTCAAGCAAATTATCCAAAGTGAACTTTATACATTAATTTCTAAGGACTAAAGAACTTACTGATCAAGATTGTTGGCAATACTATGAATAAGTGCTATTGTACCACAGGCGTTTCTTATATACTGAATCAAATGATACACCTTGTCTCTGGCAGCATCAGTCTCTTTTTCCTTTGCCTCCAACTCGGATTTATTTGTTTCGGACTAAATATAATGTAGTATACATCAGCTATTAGTGAATAAATTTTTCACAAAACCACAAGAGTTTATTTTAATTCGTGTACTAACTTCTAGAGATACGGGAAAAAGCAAAATGATGGCCAAAACAGGCTGAGGCAGTGCAGCCAAGAGCTCTTGGTCTAAGCCGTACACATCGCAAAGGCTCCATTTATCAGGAACACCAAGTTTGTGCACAAACTACGTGAATATGGAAATGAAAAAGCATGGTTACCTTTAATAGTTGAGTTTTTACATTACCAAAAGCGTAATAACACATCAAAAAGATCGAAAAAGCGGCGTCACCTTTGTCATAACCTAGAAACAAAAATGATTGAACATTTATGGTAAATACATTTTTTCGTAAATAAATCGATTTGTCACGAAATCATGAAACCTACCTCTGGATTGGACTCGAGCGGGATCCATGTTACTTTTTTACCGGAGATCTCCATTTTTTTACAAAAGTAAGCAAAATGTTTTTCTCTGCAAAAATCGGAAAATTCACTTTGACTTCTATGAAATAAGCCGGGTAAAAGTAAACAAAAGCACGTCACCGGACACCGCACATTACGTGCCATCTAACGAGCGATTTGATTACTATTTTTAGAACTATATATACAGTGTGCAGACGACGTCGTATTTCAGGCCACTCAAGGGAAAAATGTCGTTCCTTACGCGTGCAATGACCGGTAGTGTTTTGTACATGACGAACAATTGTTATTGCAAATTGACTCAAAATTGCGCCCAAGTGAAGTTTCACAGAAAAAACTTTTCCAAAACTTTCATTGAAAATGAATGGTGGTGTAGTGCTCGTTTCATGTGTTCAGGTACAGTGCGTTACCTAACCTTGCATACTTGAAAAAGAATGGTTGTTCAAATGATTGGAGAAAAAAAAAAAAAAAAGATTTTTCACACATGTATAATTATTTTTATGATTTAAAATCATTACAAGCTTTTGACGAGTCTTTTAATACATAAGTTCACTTAATTGTGAAAATGGAAAAACTTTCTGTTACGATTATTCATAAGTTAAAATTGAATGGTTGAACAATAAAAGCAACAATTTTCAGTGCCGTCTAATTATTTCAGGTGCGCCCGAGCCAACAAATAAAACAGGTTCATACGTTGTTTATGACAAACTGATAGCACAAAGGAGAGCAGAAGCTCAAAGATCGATTGTTATTCAAGTACTGTCCTACAATTCTTGTGCTGATGTATACACATATTGTTCACAATTTGGAAGTATAAACAAAATATTTCATTACTCAATTAATTCTGGAGGGGAAAAGGTATAACAAATATAATTAATACTGTGTGGTTAAGATGTAAGAACTAAGTAGTACATGATTCTTGATTTTTTACAGCAAAACTTGGTTCTCATTGAGTTTGAGGAAAAACAGCATGTAGATGCTATTATGTCCTCCTCAACACATGTAAATTACGAGCAAGCAATCCCAACTAATACATCACTCTTGTGGTTTCGCAATCTTGTACACTCAAAGACAAAAGTCAAGAATGTTCCTCCAGAACAAATAAAACTCACAAAAAATTCTATAAAAACAGCAGATAGTGGTGAAATAACAAAAAAATTACTTTGTTCCGAATCGGTAAGAGTCCATGTAATTATAAACTGATACATGTCTTATTGCTTCCTATCAGCAATACTATTAGTACTTTTTGTTTCATAGATTTCTGATCAAATTTTGACACTGTATAACACTATAAAGTTGAATGATGCTGGCACAAGACTAAGGTTTCACACAGCTTATCAAATTGAGCACTGTTTTAGCAACTTATTCCCAAACATAGCAGTTCTTCCATTTGGTTCATCAGTGAATGGCTTTGGAAAACAAGGTTGTGATTTGGATTTATGCTTAGTCTTGGATGAAAATTCAATGGTAGGTAACTTGAAATTACGATAAATATTCATTTCTAAAAAGGATTCTTTGACTAGAGATATCCAATGTTGTTTCTGTTCAGGAAAAACCTACCAGTAGATTAGTGTTTCAAACTAAATCTATTTCTTTATATGACAGACAACAAGTAAAAAGATTAATGGAAGTACTTGCCCAAACGATTAATTTATTTTTGCCAGGAGTCTCTAATGTGAAAAAAATATTAGAAGCAAGAGTTCCCATAATTAAATTTGATCATTCTTTATGTGGAATTCAGTGTGATCTTGCAGTATCAAACATGTAAGTTGAAACATAAATTTTCAATTGAAAAATGAAGAAAGATATCTGAGTCGCGTGAAACTTTATTACTTGCAGGACAGCTTATTACATGTCTGAATTGCTGTACATATTTGGTGAAACGGATCCTAGAGTGAGACCGCTTACTTTTGTCATACGAAAGTGGGCAGACAGTCTACATTTAATTAATAAAACTTCACCTGGTCCATGGATATCAAATTTTTCGCTGACCCTGATGGTAATTTTTTTTTTGCAACAAAGGAACATTTTGCCCTCTATCAACGCACTGAAATCAAAAGCTTGTAAGTTTGAATGAAATGTAATTTTTACAAAAGCTGCTTGTCAGTTGCGTAATGAACCAATTTTTTTTTTCGTAGGTAAGGACGATATTCGAGTAGCAGACACCTATGTAGATTGTACCTTTCTTCGAAATATCGAACAAATTCCTAAAAGCACCAATACAGACTCTTTAGAAGAGCTTCTTGTGGACTTCTTTACGTATTACACCAAATTTGATTTTAATACGAATGCCATATCTTTGAGGATAGGCAAGCCTATAAAAAAATCGGAACGTACTCCTTTGTACATATGTAATCCACTGGAGACGAATTTGAACGTTAGTAAAAACGTGAGCAGTGAACAACTAGATCGCATCATGATGTCCATGCAAAATGCACTTTATCATTTGGAATTCCATTCAAATGAGCGCAATGATCAATGGGGCTTAATAGGCTTATTTTTAATGAATCAAACCAACTTCATAGAAAACACGAGAAAGAAAAAACTCTTAAACTTCAAAGAACTGTTTGAAAAAGATAACGATGTGCTAACTACCTCGTGATTATTACTGTATGCCATTGAGTAAAAGAAAATGCTTACATGCTAAGTGAATACATTGTTTCAAACTGTTTTGTAAATATGAAACGTTTTTTATAATTGTTTATGATGATATCGAATGATGATTATTGCCAAAATGAAATAATTTATAATATAATTTTTATAAACAAAAAAAGAAAAAATTGTGTAGATATATGAGGATTTTAGATAAATGAAACGACATGAAAATCGGTCGTAAGTTATACTTAACTTGTTTATTTTATTTTCTTCTCAAATCTTTTAAATATCATCGACAAAAATTTTGACATTCTCGTACATGCTTGTCGATTATGTTTGTGTCCTATATGCATAATAAACACGCCCCTGCGAGCTGTCAACGTCCAATTTGCTAATAAGTCGTGTCTCAATAAACATACTGCGTCGAAAGAGCTTCATACCTTACCTTGAAAAAAAAAAAAAAAAAAAAAGTCACGCGTAAGACACGTACTATTTTAATTAAACAGTATTACAACTTTCTTCCTCGAGTCGACGAAATAAAACTGCCGAGGACGTTTATATTCAGTACGGTTTTTATTTTCCGTTGCATTGTGTTATCGCGCAGCTGGCAGTTTACGTTTATTTATGATTAATTAGGCTACATCGTGATTACCATCGATTAAATTCGTAATATACCGTGACATGTGGCAGTGTTTGGTTGATCTATTTTAGTTGATTAATCTCACTCATATTTTGCCATGTACTATAACTAACGAACCAATCATATGGGTCGAATGCGTATCGGTTAGGCTTCTTTTATTTATTGATGCAAAAGAATATGCATCGACACGCCAATAAATCTCCCTTGATGATTTGTATAATTTTTTATTTTTATTTTCAATTGATTAAGGCTTTCTAAATTTAAAATCCGATCGCCAGTGGGGCACTCGCGAAAAAACACGGCTATACAACTATCTCAATCACATAATCATACCTTATACGCTTTATTTCATATCGTAATATACTTAGTTAATTCCCTTCGAAACGTAAATATTAAATAGGTATGTATCGTTAAAAAAGTCTCACGAAAAATACTGACACGTTCGACGACGACGATTAAAAAATATACAAATTGTCGTACACATTGGAATTCCTCGTCGGTGTGTACAATATAACTATATGTATATACTTGTAAGCTCGTTGAAAGTATAAAAATGTAAGATAAATACAATCATATAATATACGTGAAGCATTGAAACACGAGAGATGAAAAAAGGGGATGGGACGCGAGCGGTACAAAAAGTAAGATAATATGTTTAAGCTCGACAATCAATCGTTTTACAATGGACAGAGTGAGTTTTGTTACTTTTATCATCCGGTCGAAGCGCCGATATTTTTTTACAAATAAAGATTCACGCGTCAGTTACCATACGTGTGTCCGCGTACATGTTTATATGTATATATTTAGTTGTCCGTGTCGATAATCACAGAAAGAAAGCGGCAGAGATCGGCAATTCCTGAAAAAACGATTTCAAAAAATTCGCAACTGTCGGATATTACAATAACATATTCGTATGTGTATAATATATATTGTATCGTACAAATACCACCGGTCTGTTATTTTCCATCGTTTTACACGTTTATCAATACTTTGATTGAACCACCGATAATATCAGTCATGCATATAAATACACAACGACACGCACGTACCATTTTACGTCTGCATAGAACATACGACACTGATACTGTTTTTTTTTTTTTTTTTTTTTTTTTTTTGGATTTTCTTGCTTTTTTTCTACAAGAAACATGCACAACAAGCAAACAATGTACTCGTATCGTTTGTTTGATGTATTGTTTATTTATCGTTTTTTCCTCGAATTCTTACGGTTTTCCTAATTTACTTGGGCACTGTGACGTCGCTTATTCAATATTTATGTATATCCTAAAGAAACTGAGATCGCTCGTATCCAAAATTGCACCTTTGCATGCTTAATCACATACATACATAATATTAATGCATCGTTATCGTTATCGTTACTATTTTAATACCATTATCAATTATTTTTGTTGTCCCCCGCACACTGAAAAACCCGAGTATATGGCATGTATATGTGTAGAGTACTTGCGTCAAAAGTGTATATATATATATATATATGGTTGTATGTAAATATGTATGTAACAACGTGGATGATGGTTGATTATAATTGAAAGTGTCAAATGAGCTGCAAAATTGTGTGAGGATACTTGATTGTATCTCGTGTGGGCAGATGATATAACAAAACGTATAATTAATTCGTCTTGCTCTTGCGATGGTAGCGGTGCTGCATCTGCTGTTGTCGTATCTGCGAGCGTGTCTCCTGGACCGCGGCGACGAGCGTGCGCACCGCTTCCTCGTGTCCCTCGAAACTGTCGGCCTTTTTGAGCTGATTGAGGACGTTGCTCGTTACGCTGGAGCCACCGCCCGGGGCTTTGGACGAGGGCGGGGGCGGGGGTGGCGGTGGCTCGATGCTGATGGTGGTGCGCTTGCTCTTGGGCCGGGGAAAGGTCTCCCAGGAGCGTTGCTTCTGCACGAGGGATTGGAGGGAGCTCGGGTCCTTGACGAGGAAGAAGAGGGTCCTCTTGGCGTCCTGGGCCGTGAGCCCGGGCATGTCGAGGGCGCCGCCTGGTCCCGTGATGCTCGAGCGCCGGCTGCCCGAGCCCGTCGTGCTCAAGCTGTCGCAGCTGGCCCGCCTCCGGCGCCTCTCCCTGCAGCTCTCCGTCGGGTTCTTCTCGTAAAACACGTCCTCCGAGTCGCTCGCCGGGTATACCTTCACCCCCTTGGACGACGACGAGGAGGAGCTCTTGTGGTGCTGCATGATGACGCGCTCGTCCCCCGGGATCGCGTGCACCTGGGCCTGCACCCGCTTCTTCACCTCGGCCATGCTCGACGCCTCCGAGATCCGCTGGTACTCGCACTCCTCGCCTTATATACACCACACAACAATTACAAATTCATACTTTGCTCAAGATTTTATCCAGAAAAATAAATAAATAAATAAATTTGCACTGTACGGGGCTTCCAATTGGAATATTATATATACTTACGCGTACCTTGATGTCCCGACTGTTGTAGCTGCTGTTGCTGCCGGTGATCGGCTTGCTGGTCCAGAGCCTCGACGGATTCACCACCACCACCACCACCACCACCACCCTTGAGTTGCCTGTAGAGCGAGCGCACCTTACTGGTGGACGACGAGTGTCCGGGGGGCGTCTTGGGCTTGGCGTTTTCCGGGGACTTGCGGGACGAGCGCCTCGTCTGGCTCCGGTCGCGGCCGTCCTCCCGCCCCGGCGACTTTTTCCGGTCCTCCTTCGTCCGGGCCTTCTCTATCAGCTGCCTCAGGACGCCCTGCTTCGACTCGACCGGCTTAGGGTACACCACAATGTTCCCACTCGAGTCCAAGATCGCTTCCACACCACCACCCGCTGACGAGGGCGTCCTGCAACGCGTCGGCACCTCCTTCGAGTCTACAAACGCGTATACATGTCATGTATATTTTGTAATAATAATAATAATAATAATAATAATAATAATAATAATAATAATGTTGGGGGGCCAAAGTATAAAATGTGTATGCCTTTGTAGAGGGCGTTATTGTCGACGGTCGGTCTCTGGTGGCGCATCTGGGCGGGGTCCTGCATCTGGAGCCTCTGCAGGTGGTCGAGCAGAGCCTGTAGGTGGGGCTCGCTCGTAACGTCGGCGGCCGCTTGGCTGAGCTCGCCGGCCGTCACCCCAGCGGCGAACGACTTGACGAACGGCTCGAGCTGCTGGGCCACCGATTGCAACTGCTTCACCTCGCCCTTCAACTCCAATATGTCGTTCATCTGCGAGTGGAACACCTCCTTCTCGAGGTGGATCCTGCAAAGTTGTTCCTCCCAGAGGGCGTCGAACACGCTGCGCAACCGCTCGAGCTCCATCTGCTGGTGCTCGAGTTGTTGCTCGAGTAACCGGCAATCCCGGGCGACGTTCTCGTAACGCGTGCCCAGGGGCGGGGTGTTGGCCTTGCGCAGCAGAGCCACGTCCCGGTGCAGCTCACCCAAGCGCTCGCGGACCATCTTCAGCTGGTTGCTCAGCTCCTGCAGCTGGTTGTCGAAGGTGCGACAGTGACTGCTGAACCGGCCCGTCTCGAAGAGGCCGCTGCCACTGCTACCGCTCTTTGCCTGCAGCCTCGTCGTCATCGCCCTCTGCACTTGTGATAATCATCATTATATTGTGCATTGCACAATTGAATAATGAAATTATTATTCTCCGATCCCTCACCGTTATGAACTGCGACTCCTGTTGTTGCTGGGACTGCATTTGATCGTAGAGGAGGGTGTCCTTGGTGGTCGGGGTGGAGTTGGCTTGGTTGCCGACGTAGGGCTGTAAGACCCTGACAAAGTCGCCCTTGTAGTTGGTCTTGAGTTGGGCGGTGAGTAGGGGTGGCCGGGGCAGGTGGCCGAGTTGGGCGACGCGGCCGAGCCGGTCCAGCATGGGATGGGCCAGCTCGAGGAATTGGTACTTGGTTGCGGCGCTCGTGAACGCCGTGCACAGGCCGAGGTGCATCTGGAGGACGGGCAACGCGCTGCCGAGGGACAGGAGTTGCGTGCGCACCAGGCGCTCCTTGGTGTCGAACTCGCGGTGCAGCTCCGACAGCACCGACGCGTGGGTCTTGTTCACCGCGTCTTGCATGCCCTGTGGTGCGGTGCCGAATTTGTCAGATTTATATGGGATTGGGCTTTCGTTGCTCTTACATCCCCCCCCCCTTTTTGATTGCCGATTTTTCGAACCAAGTCATTCGTACTTTGTACCCACGTGTTTTTAAATAACAACTACGTTTACCAAACTATCAGGTAAATCATGAGCGGGTCAAAAAGTAAGATATTTTTTTTTTTTGCTCATTACTGCATTTCTATCGAAAATATTTTTAATGATTCTTCACGATCCTAAAACATGTTTCAAATAATGCTTGTTGGATAAAAATGAGTATACGCGTGAATGAATGTGCTCCCCATATACAAATACGTGCCTAATAAGCAGCAATATGTTTTTTGTTTTTTTTTTCTTCAAACATCACACCGTTGTTTATTAATAAAAATACATATATATTCTAATGACAATTGTACCGAAAGGGGGCCAAATGGTTCATGTTTTTTCGCTCCCAAGTAGTAAAGTCCCGCTTTGGTCGGACGGAGTTGGCTATCACCAGCAAATGTACCTATGTACCGAGTGGAGGGGAAAAAAAAAAAAAAAAAAAAAAAAAAAAAAAAAAAAAAGGAGTAAAGTATAAACGTACTTGGCAGTAAGCGTTGAGGGCCCGTTTCTCGGTCTCGAGGCTGTGCCTGAGCTCGTCGAGCTGCGACTTGAGATCCATGAGGCCGTCCCTCACGCTGGCCTGCAGCTCGCAAATCGAATTGGCCGCCCGCTCCATCTTCTTGGACGCCTGCTGCCAGGCCGTGTCAATGTCGACGCAGTGTAGCCGGGCGTCCGCGGGCGTGTCCCGGAAACACGTGGCGCACAGCATCGCCTTGCTACTCTGGCTGAACATGATGTACTGCTCGCCGTGGCTCGGACACCTGCGCTGCGTCTCCTTGCTGCACTTGCTCATGTGCACCACCTCGTGCGACGAGAACATCTTGGCGCGGTGCGTGTGCTCCCGGCAATGCGGGCACAACGCTTGCCCTGCCACATACATTTGTTTATTTATTTATTTATTTCTCACTTAATCATAATTATAATAATAATAATAATAATGATAAATGATAATCACCGCAGGTGGTGCAAAAGTACATGGTCGTCTTGTCCCGCTTGTCGCAGTTGGCGCACGGTGGGTTCTCGCAGTTGGCAAACTCCACGAGTTGACGCATCAACTGATCGCACGGCGGCTGATGCGCGCCCTCCTTCAGCTGCGTTATTTGCCTGAATACAACAAATTTATTAAAATCGGGTGCATCACGTATAAATTTAACGCAAGCAGGCCGTGTGTGTGTATCCATGCCACACGTACACTTGAGTGTAATTTGGCACAGCTCGCGCCTCTCCCGTGGAATTAAAAGTCGCGCTTACTCGGGGGAGGGGGGAAATTTAATCAATCGGTTCGCGCCCTTTCTACAGCTTGCCGATCTTCGGCTTTTAACCACCACGTCTGCTCATATAAATTATAGGAATCGATGCGCAATATATCGCGCAAACCAAAAAAAAAATAAAGATTCGTTCAACATACGGGGTATATGTATACCTCTCGAGAGATGGGGAGAGAGAGAAGCGCAGCGTCCCCGGTCTAACTGAATAATGGACGTATGCAGGTATACAGTATGGGTACTTGAAAAAAAGATACCTGCAGATAAGAATATATGCGTATGTATGGATACGTATACGTACGAGCTCGGCAATCGGTTGCGCGCACGCGAGGGAGGGATGGGCTTTTACAGTTGAATGACAAACAAAGCCCGCCACGCAGCATAAGAGGAGACAAAGAGATAATGAAACGCGTATATGTGTGTACACGCTTACGTACACGCCTGTTATATTATATACGCAGATTGGATATACATATAGTGTCTCTCTCTCTCTCTCTCTATGTGTGTTTATGCATACATGCACCACATTATCTCGATCGGCCGCTCGGTCGCGTGTGTATCTGTTTTGGTACACCGTGTACATGTGCACGCGCGCTGATTGTTTTCTTTTTTTTTTTTTCACCCTCTCTCGGGCTCTTTTTTTTTCGAGTGTTTTTCCCCCCCCCCATCCTCGATCACAATCTCGCCGAGAGATATCTTGTTGCTGTTTGCCGTGCCTCTCTCTTCCCTATACGTCATTTCACAAGGACTGCTCGATTATTTAATTTCACTTTGGTCTCGCTCATATTACATCTAGATGTAATCAAGTAAATAAAATTTAATTGTGTTTGCACGCAATTTGATGACATGGCCAAGATTTTGTATACGGAGGGGTTTTTTTTTTTTTTTTTTTTTTTTTTCTGACGTTCGCTGCGTTTTGTCGGTAAATATAATATAATGTGGAAAGAGCTTGAATATCAAAACAAATCAGAGAACTTTTATATATTTATTATAAAAAGGAAATACTAGTAATTTGAAAAATAATTTCAAGTATTCAATCACTATTGATCAAAATTCCGTTGCAAAATCACAAAAAAGAAGAAAAAAAAAATAAATAATTTGAGGGCATTTTTCACTGGAGAGGGCGTGCAAATTATTTTGTTGTCCATGGGACTTTGTGCGATAAACAAGTAAAAACACAAAAAGTGCATAAAATACTCACCCGCAAACGGGGCAGGAGACCTTGCCGTCTAGGTGGGGTCCGCGAAGGCATCTCGCGCAAAACGTGTGGTAGCAGGTGAGCAGGCACGGGTCGCTGTAGTAATCGTGGCAGACCCCGCAGAGCAGGGGATTCGTGGGCCCACCAGGTAAACCACCTGAAGTACCGGGGCCACCTACCCCCGGGGCACCACCACCCCCTGCCTGGGACATGAGTACCCCCGTACCGTCCACGCTCTCCCCGCTGCCCGCCAATCCGGCCGTCGCCGCGCTCGCCATGCCCCGCTCCTCTTCTCTTCCTCGCCCCCTTATGCGAAAATAAACCCACGCGTGTGTGCTCGAGCTGGTACACCTTGTAGCGGCAGCTCATTCATCCCTGTCCTCTCATTCATTTGCCCTTTGTCCTGCACTTTTGCCCCACGCCCACCGCTAGCGTAACCCCAGCCTCGGCATATCCCACACAAAGGGGCTTGTATATTCGTTTTGCTGTTTCAATAACGTTACGACAGCGGGTTACGGTGCTCCTGTATCCTCGATCTGCACCAACCCTCGGCCATCCTGCCGTCGTCCTCGTCTTCGTCTTCGTCGCCGTCGTCGTCGCGGGCTGCACCCCTCGAGCCGTTCTTCATTAGCGTGTGTTCGAGGAACGACGAGTCATCCCTTCCACCTTCCCCCCGGTTGTTACATTGTTGTTGTTTCACACTTTGTTCGGATGAGGGGTAACCGGGTGGTGAAATCAAATCGATTTGAATGTAACGGACGAATGAACGACCAAAGAGAGGCAGTATACATACACAAGGTGAGGAGGAGGAGGAGGAGGAGGGGGTGATATCCGGAGGGCGAGATGGAAATAAGTGCAGCAGGGAGGAGTGAAAGAGGGGACCGCGGCATCAGCGTGATGTCCGCATGCCCGCGGGCCGGGTCATCACTTATTCAGCACGACACACCACGAGTCTTCGTATATATACGTATACGTGCAGTTACACGGGTAATGGTACACATTGCAGCAGAGAAAGAGAGAGATATTTAAGGGCAAGTATAAGTAATGTGTTTGGGTAACGGAAAAGACAAATGGGGTTATTGGAGATCACCGCGTACGCGTCACGTCACCACCATTGAAACAACACGTACGATGTATAAACGCAGTGGGGCGTAGACGGACATGGGTGTTGATACTCATGTATATGTTAGGTGTTTGCATCGAGTGTAGGTACTCGGTATACTTATTAGTTTGTCGCGCCAGTAACAGCTGCTCTCGCGCGTCTATCTCCGGGTAAAATAAGTATAGTAGTGCAGGTCGGCGTGTGGGCAGACAATAGCCGCCGAGCTTGGGGGCGTCATTGCGACGAGTTGCACTGGCTGGTACCACCACCTAGCACCACCTACCACCAAAAACAATAAAAACAACAAACGACAACTCGTCACTCCCAAATTGAGGCTCGCGCGCTCGCGTGGTGGGACATTGTTTTTGTGGGACACAGGGCAGAGCTCAGGCGGCTACTACCCTGCCAGCTCCTCGAGCCAAAGCTCAAGCTTCGGGGCGGTGTGCGAAAAGCTGCGTGCGCGGCCTCTGACGTCACGACTCGGCGGCAGTCACTCCCACTCTGCAAACAGGCCTCAACCCTTATACGTATATTCCGCCTCATCCCTCTGGTGTGTCTGACTGACTATACGTACATGTATACCCCCCCCCTCCCTTCCCATGCCAACGCTCTGCAGCTTCATGCCCTGTAACTCTGATGCTGCGCGCGCGCTTGTGTGGGTATACGATACGTATATATGTATACTGCTCGTACAACGTGCTGCGGCTGGATACACTCGCGAGTGTGGGGAAGCGCCCGGTATATACCTCCTTCGCTTCTTCAATTATACTCTCTCGAGGCGATCCTGCGCTCCTTCGTCAGAGTCCCTCTTGAGCGCGCGATAAACAACATCTGCCGTGTGCATATAAATATACACATGCCTCTCTTACGACTGCTACCCCTCACCCCACATACGCGTTTGGATGGATGGCTGGTGGTGCCGCGTTTTATGGATACACGGCTAATCTCTTCTTCTATATTGTACCGTTATTGCTCTTCGGTAGTTGTTTTTCCATCGGATTTTCTTTTCTTTTTTTCTTTTTTTTCTTTTTTTTTCCATCGCCACCGCGTTTTTTTTTCTTTAAAGATCTTTCGCTGAGTCCTCCTTCGAGAACATAATTATTCTTTTTGAAACTTTGAAGGATTTTTGAGGGTTTTCCCTTTCCAAGCGGGGGAGGAGTACAAGCGTCGCGTACTTACCGATGATGGTTTTGGGAATGAAAAGAAAAGGAGGAGTTTCAGAACCCCGAGAGCTGGGGGTGTTTCATCGCTTCGTAGAGTAATTCTCGTTAACCGAGTAGCTTTTGGTAATTTGACTCGCTTGGAAACGGCTTTTACAATCGAAAGTTAACGGGTCGGTGGGAATAACATTAGCTCGAAAGTTGTATGGATGAAAATGGTCCAATTTAATTACGTGCAGAAGCGTTTTCGCGATACATTTGTGAAAAACGAATGAGTTGGAAAAAGTTTGTTCATCATGTTATTAGCATAATATAGACGTGTCGTTACATTTGTTAGGATTCACGTTCCACAGGTGGCACGTTATTCGTTGGTGAAACTTTCGTTTTGCTCGCGTGATGGGTTCGTTGGTCGTAAATTATGGAAATCGAGCATCTCCGACAAAACGTTTGTCCTCGCGTTATCGATGACTAAATAAAATGTAACACAATTATAATCATAGGTGTAAATAGTATACAAAAATACACAACATGGTCAGACGGACCTGCACTACTACCCCATCTATATATGTATATCCAAACGTATAAGTAGATACACCCTGACAACGGTCAGACCGAGTCTCGTACACGCGCGCGTTTGTAAGCATGTAGGTACAAGTAACTATAAACGCTATGACTACGTGTATACGTGATATTTATGTATTTTCCCCGAGAAATGCAAATCCCTATGAAGCCACGTCCCACGCGCTTCGACGACAAATAACGTGTATTTCCCGCGTAAACCCCCGCCGATATAATACATATACATCAAGAAGGAAAACATCGTGTAGACGATTCCCGTGTCCCCCGGGGTTATTTATACACACTTTGGGTTTTCTCGCGCGTTTTTTCCCCGCGACGAGACAAAAAAAATAACTCCACTCCTTATTTAAATAATCCATCATTCCCTACGGGGAAAGGGCGCAATAAAGCGCGCAAATCAAATGAAATCGCGCCCCTCGTGCTTTTTTTTTTTTTTTTTTTTAAGACAAAAAAAAAACGTCTTTATTACGTACAGATGTGATGCGGTGAATCGGTGGTGGCTTTTTTTTTTTTTATTCATTGCACTCGGGGATGTAAAATCGCGCGAGAACACGCATTGTTTGTGCACATGTATACCGCAAGAGGGAAGCGCGGAGCGAAAAAAAAAAAAAAAAAAAAAGAGCCGGAAACGCACTACTCGCCGCCATACCGTACTGCTGATGATGATGATGTGTACGAGGCAGTCAGTCATGTAGGGGCTAATATGTAGGTATATATATATACCTCTCGCGCACTCTCCTCGCTCGCGTTTTACTTTTCGCAGGGACCCGATGCTCCACGAGTTACACACGCATTCGGAACTCCTGGAAATGCAGGGGATGAATTTTTCATCGGTATGCACGCGAACTTTACTTGTGCTGAGCGACTTGTTGTAAAAAAAAAAAAAAAAAAAAAAAAAAAAATGTAACGGTATCGGATAAAATGACAATGGTAAAAGTAGATAATGGATGAGTGCGCACGACAAATAATAGCAGCGGTAAGAATGACATGGCTCCGTGGTGTATATAGGAGAGGAAAGACAATGAACAATCGAGAGTCGAGTTGAGGACGAGAAGACGGTGGCTCTTTGGGAGAGGGTTGATCGAAGAAATGATTTTATACTATACACCCGCTTGCGAATGCTGGCATTCACAGCCGCAATCTTCCAACGGTATCTCGTATATTGTCGGAGGAGCTTTTGAATGCGCGCTAAACACGGTGCTGTGGCTACATGTACCTACGAGAAGCTTGCCCCTCTCTATATACATGTGCACTACTGCAAGTGAGACGGGTGAGACCTCGATATTGATAGATATACGTATACTATTTTAGTATATTAAAGTATATGTATACACATGTACTATCGTGTTGCAAGAGAAAAAGGCACACAGGGAGGGGGTATATGCAGTACAACGAATGGGTAAGCAAAATCATAGCACTCCGCAACGAGCGAATTTTTGGTCTCGGCGGGTTACTTATCAAGCCTGTATGGCACCTTGGTTTTTTCATCATCTTTTTCTCCCCTTCACCGTTCGAGCGTGTATACGTAATTACATGTGCGCTTTTTGCGAGCCCTCCCCTCCCCCTTTTTTTTCCACCCCTGTTGCACTTCTCAATGTCTCTTCAAACGCACCGTCAACGACGACGGTGACGTCGACGAAGTGAAGAAAGAAGCTGATGATTCGAGGGCAAAGTTTGCCTACCACCGCTCCCGTACTCCATACATATTGCACAGGTGTGTACACAGATGTGGGGGGAGAAAACGGGGGTAGCCGAGTTTAGCAGAGATACGTTGTACAACGTGTGTATGTGGGTGTCCTCCCCCAACCAACTCGTACACTAGCTTAAATCATTTTTCAAACGGGTCAGCGAGCGTTTAAACTCGCTAACGTCTTTTTTCCTCGCCCACCCCCCTGCTCCGCTCTTTTTTTTTTTTTTTTTCAAAGTCCCTAACTCTCCCTCGTTTTTTTTTTTTTTTTGCCGACCCCTCTCGACTCCAGTGAGGGATGTACACTTGCGTTTTTCATGCGTATACGGGTCATTTCGCGAAAATTATTTTGGTACTTCACGGCTATGATATACTTGTACGTGGAATGCTACACATTGGATTATTTTACGCAGCAGAATATTTTTTCTTTTTTTTTTTTTTTTTCAACAATATTGTCAATTCAATCTTGCACGCGCTGGTCGAGAAAAAACACAACAAGTCATCGTAACGTTGGCGTAAATGGTGTGAACTGCAACGTATCTGGGTATTGGTAATTTAATTTTTTACGATTTCATACGAAAAAAAAGGGCCATTCTTCTCCGAGAGGAGAAAATATATATTTGAAAAACTTTGCAATGGCAGGGGATAATAACGTGAATAGGTCAAGTGGACCAAATTACGAAAATCCCCACTTCGCACATCAAAGTGCAACTATTAACTGCTGCTGCAGCCACTACATGTTTTTCGTGCAATGGCTCATACGCGAGAGAGAGACTTTCTTTTGTTTGCTCACTACTTTTTTTCTTTTTTTCTCTCTTCCTCGTCTTCTCACGAGCTCCCTTTTTCGTGCCACCTTCTCTCAACCCCCGCTCTCTTTCTCTATAGCTTTTCCATAAAGCGAGCATCCATATCTGTATCTACTCGCAATCTCTCGCTTGCTTTGCTTTCTCATCACCCTCGGCTCGAGTCTCAACGCGCGCCGTACGACGATGAATACCTGTTCGCGATATATGTATATGCACGTGCATAATGTATCAGCCCCCATCCCCCGCTCCACTTCATCTCCCCACCCCCCACGTCTGTATAAACAATTTTGATGCGCACCTCGCAGCAGCTGCCTCCACCCGCACCCCGTACATGTGGCTGTATAAAAGCGATGCGAATACATAATGCAATCTTTTACCTTTTCCCCCCCCCTCCCCCCCATTCAATTATAGTTATCGACTTCTTTTTCACGCGTTTTTTTCAGGATTCACCCCTTGAAAATACTTTTTTTATACTTACCGTAAACAGTTACTGCATATATTTGGATAACTGAAAATATGAAGAACAATAAAAAAAAAAAAAAAAAAAAAAAAAAGAATTAATCTCTCATGGAGAAAAGATTTGCGTATGTGTTGTGTTGTGTCGTTACGGCATTTAGATTTTCACGCTTTAAAAATACACGTGCACGCGGAAATGTTGCACCAGATAAATGTTACCCCTTCAAAAGGAGATGAGGTATAAAGTGCCTGAGTACACGCGCGCGGGGGATAAGCCGAGTGTATGGCACGACCGGGAGGAATTAAGGGCAAGGGGGAGGGGCTTTTTTCAATCGAGATGATAACTACCGGCTGCAAGCTGCGAGGAGATGATGGATTTTCCTCCTCCCTACGCCCCTGGATCCGCTCTGGTATCCGTAATTTCGTATTACGGAGCGATTCAAACAACACATGCAAGTGTGATGATGGTTTTATTTCTTTCTTTTGATTTTTTTTTTTTTTTTTTTTTTTTTGTTGGAAAAATTGGTAGGGGTTTGATATCCATATCGAGCTTGGGTAGAATGATGATTTCAACTAAGTTCAAATTTCAAGTGTATAACATACGTGATTTTATTTTTTACGGATCGAATATAAACGATAAGTCAGAAGAAAATTAAAACCATACAAAGATTAACATTGAAAATTATAACAAATTTTCAATTATTAAAGAAATAATTGATTCATTTCACTAAATATGTATATATATATCAATAATCTGATGTTGTAGCTATGCAATTAGATCAGTTATTAACTGATTAAAATATAACTTTGCAGTGTTACGTTGTATCTGAGAATCAAATAAGATGAAAATGTACATGCATTAAAACCTGTGAAATTTCAATGGTTTCGCTTTAGAGTGACATACTTATTTTACGTAACATAAAATGACGTAATCTTATAGGAGTCTGAAATACTTGCGCTCCAAGTGTTGGTGAAAAACGATTATTTTACAGAAAAATAATACAGAACAATTTTGTACACGACAGTTATGTTAAGTAATATACAAAGAACATCCCGATAACAATATTAATCAGTACACGGACTTCTCACTTTTTTATAGTGATATACTTTTTTTTTTTCGTTCAAATATTTGTGTAGTAAATCAACAATTTTAGAAACTCACCCTTCACGTATTCTTTAATCACTTGAAAATAATAATTGAAAAACATAAAATTTTATATAGCGTTAGGGATTATTAAGTAGTACTATTTTTTGACGATGGGCCAATTGACATCACTATTTTACTCCAATATCTCTTTGTATCTAAACTTTAAATAAAAATTCTAATGCCTTGAAAAAAAACAATATGCACCAAACATGTAAATTTCAAATCATTCTACAAGTGAGCGGTTGTTCAAAATTCCCTCCAGTTGTGTGTAACCTTACCTGGTTGCCGTTGCCCTAGCCCAGCACACGTCCACACACTCCACACGTACAGTAGAGTGTGTAAACAATAATAAACAAACACGTCCCTCTTGTTCAAGCTTATTCAATCAATAATTAAAAACAAAGTTTGTTTTTGTTCACGGAAAGTAAGTGGAAAGTGTTTGGATTTCAATTTGCATTGTTTACTAGAATTTCGAGTGATTGGCGTTATTGCCGAGTTTAGGTACTTATGAATAACTTACCTTGATGAAAAAATAGGCTTTGTAAAACTTACGCCCCGAGTGTCAGTTTAATTTTAAATATGCCATCTCGCGCAGAAGAAATCTTCAAAGGTTTCCAAATGTAAGTACAAGGTTAAATTATTGATACGTGAACTTTATAATCGCACTTTGACCATTGCAACTCTCGCTTGTGGGTTATGTTCGTAACATATTGTTTATAAAATACTTTCCTCACTTTTACAGAAATTGGATTAATCTGAGAGATGCTGACACGGGAAAAATTTTGTGGCAGGGAAACGAAGACTTGTAAGTATGAGTATTCTACAGGAATACACCGTTACTAAGTATTCCTTCATGTGCAATTTTGCTGTTTATTTTAATATAGGTCAGTACCAGATATTGAACACGAAGCTCACGTTCCTAAAAAAATCCTAAAATGCCGTGCAGTCTCCAGGGAAATTAATTTCAGCACATCCGAACCTATGGAAAGATTCAGATTGGAACAAAAAGTTCTATTTAAAGGACGTTGTTTGGAAGAGTGGTTCTTTGAACTCGGTTTTGTCATTCCCAATAGCACTAACACTTGGCAAAGTTTATTCCAATCTGCTCCTGAAAGCCAAATGATGCCTGCTAATGTCTTAAAGTACGTATACTTTTATTAATAATTCAATATGGATACAATATTGTAATTATGTAAACATATACAATTTTTTTCTTCTATTTACAGTGGAAACATGGTGATAGAAACTAAATTCTTTGATGATGATCTACTTTTGGCAACAAGTAAACTAAGATTATTTTACGTATAAAATAAAATAATTTTATACCAAGAAATCTGTCAGTAGTCGGAAATGCACATTTGTCTTGAGCTAAGCTATGAATTTATTCACAATGTAAATATAAACGTAAGTACGATGTCCTTTGTAAATTCATACAACAGTCACTAAGAGTCGAATCACTGTTATTAACTGTAATTTTTTGTCTACTTTGTAAGTATGTGATATTTATAAAAAAAACTATTATTAATAAAAAATAGGTAATTTAGGTAATAGTATAGTATACATTATTCTTAGGAAGTTCATTATCTATGTATGTATTTAAATGTATGTATATATTTTAACTGTTGATGTCTTGAATTTACGTTCAGCAACAAAATAAGTACTATTTCTTATGAAATTGAACATTCAAACTTTGTACAATTAATGATGTGGTTTGTGTGACAATAAAAAACAAACAAGAAAATAATCGATATTCAGCTTCATAATTTATCGTTAGTTTTTGAAACAAAACCAAAGTAAAAGATGAACATAAATGATGATCCAGACGAAAAATCGGTAAGCACAGAATTAGCGTTTACTCGACCGACTATTTTCAAAGGGAGGGACGACGCGGGTGTCAGCATTGTAAGCATTCCTGTACTCTTCTTCAAAAGCTTCCTAGGAAAGCCCAACAAGCGAGAAGCAGATATATATTAGATAAAAATACGTAGATTGGCTGTCTGTGCTAACAGTGCAACCCACCTCTGCTAGTTCTGCGTCGTTGTGCTATTGATTCGTGGTGTACAAGTAATACATTTCTTGGGCTTCACTACCCCTCTTAGGGAGGCACACGTTAAACATACCGATCCCCTACCTCTCACTTTTTTTCTCTCTGCCTGTCTATCTATCTTGCATGCAGGTGTAAGAAAAAAGAAAAGAAAATAAAGCGAGGAAAGAAACGACGGCCGTGCGCTACTGAGTCGTCCGACCAGGGGGGGTCCTCTAACATTAACTCTTACTCTGATGTGAATTCAGCCGCTGGTACCATTATAATCATTGTCAGTCAAATTTATTTAGATAATGGGTTTACTGTAAAACAAACACAATATTTTACTGTACGTAGAGTACAAATTTGCCAAAAACGGAAGTATAGCGATAAAAAATCGTATTTTGAGAGCAAGTAGTGCGCAAGCACACCCTAGCCGCAGTCGTGATTCACGAACAGGAGTACACGATAATGGAGCTGAAGGACGACGATGACAACGAAACGGGCCGGCAACTCTTTCTGGTGGGCTCGCCCCGGGATCCTTTGGTTTCGGCTGGCTCGATCGTCGAAAACAGCGCAACCGGCAACGGCAACAACGGCCACACTGGCGGCGAAGATATGAATCCCGGCGGCGATCTGCAGTCGAGTGCCCTCGTCGGCCTAATGGGTGCGCAATCCTCGTCGGTTTGCTTTCCTGCTAAATTCAGTAAGTGGCCACACACGCACTCACACAGCCCTTCCTCTCCTCGTCTTTGGCACCGTGTGTTTTTTTTCTGATTTAATTAACTCTCCCTTGTTCTCTAGCTCCTCTCCCACTGTGTGCTGTGCACCAAGTTGGGGCAGGCACACGGTCTGTGTGTGCTCTCAATTAAATTATTGCTAAATGCATTAAGCGGCTGCTCTCTCACTTTGTACCATCCCTTCTTTTAAATAAAGTTAGCGATAATCAGTTTAACAGTTATGAACTGCTTTGCCATTGACCAAACTTGCCGTCGCCACCACAGCCACCCTCCCCAAACGCGCGCTCGTTAGCGCTACTCGTTCGGTCGCTGCTTCCGCCCACTCTCAATGTTTTATTGTGATGCCTTGATCTGTTCACGCTATTGCTCCAATGTAGCATATGACTTTACATCCACGAGTCCTGGAAGCGAAGAGCGACCTCCAACTGGAGCTATTGGCAAACGAAAGCAGCGCAGGTATCGCACGACCTTCACTAACTTTCAGCTGGAGGAGCTTGAGAGAGCTTTTCAAAAAACCCACTATCCGGATGTCTTTTTTCGGGAAGAGCTGGCGTTGAGAATACAGCTGACTGAAGCTAGAGTACAAGTAAATACAGAAATTACTTGATGTCGATTCAAATTTCAAACATCTACATCACGGAGTTGAATCAAAAATTATCCCATTTAGGTTTGGTTTCAAAACAGAAGAGCCAAATGGCGAAAGCAAGAGAAGCAATGCAAAAATACTTCTCAAATGACATCTCATCTTACGACGGATTGTCACGATGTACATCAGCACCAGCACCAGCACCAACAACCGCAGCAGGCTCAACCGGACCATATTCTGCTGGAACCACCTCTTGGGAGTCCACCCCCGATATATCTTGGCATGGAGTGGGCGGGATTTTCGCCTTATAGCACCACAAACACACCTTCGCCGCTCATTATTAATGGAGTGAATAAGCCTCCGGAATCTGACGACAATTCTTTGCTGGACCCAGAATTGCTTCAATTGAAGACACCGCGATCGCAATGGAAATTGTGAAATAATTGTCTTCTTATTCTAGTGATTTTTTTATGCACTGGATTTTTGCAGATTTCACTGAAACTTAAATTCTCTTACAAAAAGTGCAACTGTTACACTATTTCGATTAAATCGTAAATTAAATATATACTTACGATTTATATAAAAATAATTAA